AAAAAAATTGTAAACTAGAAAGGACATGTTACTAGTACATCACTTCCATCAGCTATATTTAGCATGCCTGTCCACATCTGCATCCTTGAAATTGTCCATCCTCATTTTCTCAAACTTAGATCCGATGATTGTTGTCAGGAACATAAAATCCCTCTGCCAGATGCATGGTTTTAATAAAAAACATTATCTAGGAAGAAGAGTGCTTCCTTCCTCGAGAGTCTTTTTTTACACAAGACACAACAATCAGATTATTAAGATTTTTTGTGTTTGCAAGTGCCATTTTGGATTACGTTTGAATCACTATTGGTGAATATCAGAGTTCACTTCTGATATTTAAAAAAAAATCTGTTAACCTGTCATCTGTGTTTTCAGATACGTGTGAGTGCATGCATGCATTGGCGTTTGCGCTTGCGTGTTTTTTGTGTGTAAGGAGGTTCCCGGAGCACCCGGAGAGAACCCAAGAATTTGTAGAATTCTAGCCAACTGTTTGTAGGTGCTGTTTTGATCTAGATTAATGTGAAATGGTGGCAGTTAAGTTCTTTTGTACTATGTCTATTAATTAAATAATGCTCTGGATTGGGTTGGGTTCTTCAGATTCATAAGGTGTGTTTTGACACAGGTAACCACATTGTCATGATAAAGGCTTGGTTCTCTGTCTAAGTACAAATAGTCCAACAGATTGCAGGAGCGGTTTTTGAATATTTTACAGAGGTCTTTATAAATGGCTGCATCACGGTTTTCAATTCTTTCTGGGTCAATGTCAGAAAGTTTTCCTTGGACTTCTGACCAAACTTTTTTAAACAGCTGCTCTTCAATCAAGTTGGAAACACTTCGTCTGCACATGTATCCTGATTTATTTATGGTGAGAGTAATTATTTTCCGAATGAGCACTCTCACAGCCATTTTAGATTTTTCTTCCCTTTTGTCTCCAGTTGGACACTCAAAAGATATTATCTGCAACTTCTGAGGCAGAAATGCATCTGGGACAAACTGTCTTGGCAATGTATCTACTGATGGCCTAGTAGGTGAAACCTTTGATGTCCTTTTACCAAACATTTCCATCAAAGACATTGGTTTTGATGGAAATACCTCTTCGCCCATAAAGATGTCAAGAATATCTGTGTCCTCAGAATCTTCATCTTCATCTGTGGTGACATTCAGGTTACTTCTTGCGTAAATGTAACGAAGAAAGGATTCAGAAAATAAACCTTGCTCTTCCTCTTCAAAGTATTCCTCCTGGGAATCAGCGTCTTCAGAGAAACGAGGTTTCCATGGTTCCTCAGACTGCACACGATCTTCTGAGCTTGTCATAGTGGCTGGTTCTTCTGGGAAATCTGATCCAGATAGTGGAACTTTTCCACAACAAGTTGAACCAAAATTCCTTTGAAAGTACCTTTTTAGTTTCTCACCTTTTGATGGAGTTTTTGGAGGAACAATTTCTTTCTCCGTTACGTCTTCCTCCTGAAAGCTATAGATGCTTGCGATATCAATGTCTCCTTCTTTGGTGACAATCACATGACTTCTTTGACGATGGGAATCTCTACGGGTTTTGTCTTCAATTTGCTTTTGGGTATCGAAGTCTTTTTTAGGACTACTTTCTTGTTCTTCCTCAGAAGGCTGCATATCAAGAGGGATGAATATTTCTGACCATTTCCTAGGCTCAGATTCTTCTTGGACAACAGTTACTACTGGTTGTGTCACTCCAAAACACCGTGCTAGAAACCCCCTAATTCTTTCAGCACAGCCCTTTTCCTTTACTTTTTCAGCAATTTGTGGATTTGTGGCCATAGAATGTAGTATATTCTTGGATACCTCGTCGTACATAAACTGGTTGACAACTTCAGGGCTTACTCGTGTCTGACTGTCTTTCTGTGCCAATCTTTTTAAAATTTCGTCAATTACAGGGGTAACATATCCTTGCACCAACTCCATAATCCTGTGTTTTGTTTGCTCGTGGAGACTCCCTGAACTCAAACACACCATCTCATCATTGGTTAGCTCCTGAAGAAAATTAAGCATGCTGACCCTAAACTCCTCGCTATTAAAAACCTCATTTTCAAGGTAAAATTCTCTATTTTCTGCCATGATGACTCTGAAAGTTTTTTTTCCCAATGAACTCTGGTCAGAAAACTTCACTTTCCTGTCATAAAATCACTGCACTTCTCTCCACTTACTAAACTCACCTCCAACTAGCTATTCACTTAGAATTTTGCACATACACAGAATCTATTGCATCATCAGTATCAAAGGCACAGAATGGAACAAAGAACTGATGTGTTCTGCTACCAGTGATGCGCTTGCTACCTAGCAACTAAAAAGAGAAAAAGCTAGAAAACTGTTCTTGTGAAAATCCTTAAATCAAGATACAACCATTGTCTACAATATGTCAAGACCTGCGTCATATCCACATTTCTACACATAAGAGTTCTTATTTCTTTCACTCAACTTTGCTAGCAGTGGGGAACAGCAGACACTCAAGAGTAGACCTGAAAACTTGACCAGTTTGCAAGATTTATTGAGTTATTTGGTTTCAGGAAAGACTGTATATAATGAATTAAACATACAAATAGAAATAACTTATCTTTGAAACGGTTGGCCTTGTTTTGTAGTCATGACTTCAGACAGGTGCCCTTCCTTGTTTCAATGTATGAGACCACAATGGCATACTTGTTAGTTACTTCATGTAAAATGGTAACAGCAAAAATGCCCCTTGCAACCTTCCACTGCAAGTGCAAGACTTTTGGCCTTTTATGTCAAATGCAAGACATTTATGTTGGTACTGGTTTAGAAATTTTATATATTCAGACCATTTACAGTACAGACTGCTAAGATAGGGACAATTTGTCCCTAAGATAGGGACAAAAATATATATACACTGCTCAAAAAATAAAGGGAATACTCAAATAACACATCCTAGATCTGAATGAATGAAATAAATATGAAAATAATTTCCACCTGTTGTCTATTCCATTTGCACAACAGCAGGTGATATTGATAGTCAATTAGTGTTGCTTTCTAAGTGGACAGTTTGATTTCACAGAAGTTTGATTGACTTGGAGTTATATTGTGTTGTTTGAGTGTTCCCTTTATTTTTTTGAGCAGTATATATTAAACCTTAACTTGTTAAATATGTTGACTCAAACATTCATCTCCATAATGACACCCTTCAGTTGTAGCCAAAGAATGTAGTATTCCACAGTCTATGATCAGAATGCAGAATACTACATTCAGTGCTGTGGACTGAGATTTTTGTGACCTCAAAATCTCAGGCCACAGCGCAGAGACTTTGAGGCTGCATGAGTAATCTGTCTAGTGATTCTTGGATCTTCCGCAGTGTTTCCTCCCTGTGGATTGCACCTAGAATATCTGTGAGGAGAGGCACCCAGAAAGCATCTTGAGGAGGCTGAACCACAACCACTGATCTCTTTGATGACGAGAAAAAGCAGCTCTATTTTGAGGTCCCCCACGGGTGATGGAGCCCCTCACACGCTCAGTGAGGTTGGCCACTCTGTGGAGGAAGCCAATTGTAGCCATATTTTTCTTCTTTTGCTCATGGTCCATATTACATAACAATAGTGGTGGGTCAAACACAGGTAAATAAGGTAAACTAAGACTCTCGATTTTTGTCTGAGCTATTTCTTCACCACAACAGACAATAGCAACTTGTGAAGACACCAAGATGCTTTTCTCAAAAAAGTGAAGAAATGTTAGTACTTCTGAAAACCATTTTAATGCATTCCTGTGGGAAATATTTTGCAGAAATGTATCATGGCAACCACAAATGTTCTCCAAGTAAATTCTTGTTTTTTTTCCCTCTTGATCAGTGGTTTATAAAATGGATTTTTTAAAAAAGTGAATAGGAGATCAGTGAGAACATGGCCCCAGATCTCGACTGCTTACACACATAACCCAAGCCAGCATCATCTCTGTTTTTCTCACCCCATTCATTTTCACACTTTTATGTTCATCATTGCTTCACTTCCAAGAAAGAACCTCCAGAGGGCCTGTGAAGCTGCCAAGACACCAACTGAGATTTCTCCTCCTTCTGTCCCACACAACTGAATGTGTAGGTGACGTTTTTCTGCCAGTGAGAAGGCGGGTGACGGACATACAAAAAAAAATTGTTTACCATTTCTTGTCCCTGAGCACAGTTATGAAATGTGAGCCAAAAAAGACCTCCCACTCTCCATAAAAAAAATGAAAGCAGCGGTAAACACTGAGCAATAATTACATAATACAGTCACAGGCACTATGAAATCAATATCACCCCACTTTTTGGCTTACTATCAGAATCTGAGAGACGTTGCGGTAACGGGTGGATCCAATCACAGAAGACTAAAATTAAAAATCCTCCTATGATACCATTGGCTGCAAGCCCGGGGCAACAGGACCTGACCCACTGACTGAAATGTTGATAAAGAAAAGTAAACTTCAGCAAGAAGAGGCAATGTAATTACAAAAACGGGAAAAACGAGAAAATCTGCAAGAAGATGCAAAACAGGAACAAAGGAACAACCGAAAATCCCCTCAAATAAAAAAATAACAAAAGGTACAAACTTCCTTAGAGATTCTAAACACACACAAAAATACAGGCAGAACAACAAGCTCATGAAGAGCAGCCGACAAAAAGGTAGGACCTGCACAAAGTTATGCAAATGTGCCCTTACATGTCTGTGTTCCTGCTTTCTCAAAAAGCAAGATCCATGGGTGCAGGATTTATACACTGGGATACATTTACATGGACACTGACAAGTTTCTTTAGTGTTCAATTTCTACAACAGATAATTCTCACAATTTGTAGCTCATCATTCTAAAAGTGACATTTAACATTTATTTCTTTATTTCTCATAAAACAATATGTTTGTTTAATTTATTGCACTTACTCTACATTACTTTCATATTGACTCCACATTTTGTGCCCCATCTAATTACAGGATAGTGTAAAAATGAACCATTTTAACACGCGCACCAAACAAGTGTGCCAAAGGTGTGTTGCTGCTGCACGGGCCACTAGATGGTGCTGTTGTTTCTCCCCAGAGTTCCTGGTTCGTGTCAGAAGGTGGAGGTGCAGCACCTCCTTCATTGTCTGAGTGAGAACCAACGGGAGAAGATCCTGCTCGCCGCTCGCTGAGGTGAAATCCCGTCTCTCTCCCCGGCTCACTCGCTCAGACGGCCGTCATGGCGACCGCAGAGAGCCTCTGCTGCGGGGCCAACCGTGTTTAAAAACTCCCTTGGGATTCACATTTCCTCTCCGAGCGCCCTGACGTGGATGCAATATCTTCGTTTCAGCTGCGGGAAAGAGTTTGGCTTGGTCAAGCCCGCATTACCAGAAAAGAGAAGAAGGGGTAAGAATCGTGCAGCGCAAGTCCTCCGTCAGTGTTGCTCTGTTTTAGGGAAGTGATTGAACTTGTTTGATGAGATTCGGGTTAAGTCTTGGGAGTATCTTTTCCATGTCTTTTCGTGATCCAGTGGATTTTGGGTCCTGCTCTCTCTGTCCTGCAGTGTGGATTGCATTGCACGAATTTTCCTCATCCAGACGCAGCAGCAATCGCTCAGGTTTCCTCTCCGTAATTTGATTCGTGGATCACCGTGACATTTAAATGATCAATACCTCACCAGGAAGTGTGCAAATGTGATCTGCCAGCTTAGTTTCCACAGTGCGTGTCCAGGTGAGTCCCGGACAGTGTATTAATGTCACATGTGCTGTAGCTGGTGATAATACCACGAGGATTACTGCAGCCTCTGCTCTGTTAACCCACATTACTGTCAGGGTGTCAAGACTGTGAGAGGTGAGTCAGGAGAGGCAATCGTTTTCACAAGACGTGCATCATGCATGTTTCCAGTCTTGCAATCCTTCCACTTAATCATCATTCACTACCCTCTAACATTTGGAACTTCGGCAAATCCAGCCACACCCACATATCAGGATCTGTGGCAAAGCACAAGAGGAAATTGACCCTTTTTTGGTTGTTTTGTTATGCAGCTTCTTTCAGGTGGACAACTGGCTGTATCTGGCTGCAGCCTCTGGCCATTCAGTTGTCACTAAAGGTTTCCAGCTGTGCTCTGGAGGGGCCCCTTGCACACAGAGGAGCCACTGTTATAAAACCCAGCTCCACCTTGCACATATGTGGGGAATTTCAAGCAAACTTGTTCAAAGGCAGCGAGGTTACCCCCGTCTGTAAACGTCCGCCTGGTATTGTACACTGACTGACTTGTGTTTTAGTGCCAGCTGCACAATTGGTGCCTGTTCTGTGTTTTTGTTTGGACATGAGTTCAGCTCTCAAATTGAACATGCAGAACTCTTGACCAGTTGATTCATGATACTCTCCGCGAGGGAGGGCGTGTGTTGGCTGAAATAATCACCGTCTACTCTTTTCCTTGCCTCTGTTTCACTACTGCTTTGTGTGAGGGGTTTCTGGTTTCAAGCCATGTGCAGGTCACACAAGTTGGGAATTTAGAAGCAATACTCAAAGCAATTGCCAGAAATTAGACGCAAAAGTTTTAGAGTGATGGTCGGTTAAGGGTCAGAGATAATAAATTAACAGATTTTAATTAAAGTGTGTTTCTTTTCACAAATTACATCCACAGTGATAGTGTTAGATATAGCTCCTTGTGGAGTGTCTGCATTTTCACTGGAAAATTGTAATGTTTGTTCACACTCCTGTGGTGACTGAACACAACAGGTGCAAATTATGCAACATTTATTGTAAATAATAATAATAATAAAACACAACCTTAATAACTCTCTACTCACTTGAATTTCTTAAGTAAAGCCATATTCAAAGAATCTCATTGAAAATACAAGAAAATAGTGAGATTACAGAAACTAGATGTTTACTTAAAATTAATGAGAAACAATGCACAAAGGGGCTCACATTTAATTTGGAATAATCCTCCCAAAATCTCTTTATACCCTAATGAAACCAGACTTGAAATTATGGACCACAATCCCAAAATATGTTTGTCCTGAACAGCCCCTTACACCATCAAGGTAATACTGTATTGAAACACGGTGGAGGCAGTATCATGCTCTCTGCCATAAGAGTGTTTCCGCATGATGAATGACGATATGAGTGATTCAGTTCCAAATATCAGTCCATATTGACACAAACATTTAACTGGCTGCTAGAAAGCATGGTTGAGTCCAAGTGTACCGTTCAGTAAAAATGTCTTCAGACAAAATAAATGACATAGTCTTAATTATTTTACATCCAGTCTTTTAAATGTTTACATTTTTGAGATCCACTGTTGCATAAAACAACACATTGTATCAGTAATAAATAGATGCTTAATTTAGGTCTCTATAAAATGTAAGAAACACAGATGATGGAATCGCTTCGAAGGATATAAATGTAATTAATTGCACAGATATTTCATAATTAAAAAAAAAACAGAAAAAAAACAAAACAAAGCAAAGCAAAACAAAACACGCTTGACTATCGTAGGGAATTTTGTTTTAACTTTGACCACAGCTTAAAAACCCTGCATTCATTTATGAGAGTTATTAGTATTTTAATCACTTCTAAACCAGCTCTTGATGGCTCTTAAAATCTACTAGAGAGGTTTTGTTGTAAAATTCTTCAGTCTCTTTTTAGATGCATTTTGTTGTCTATAAGACAACACGTCATGTTTGTTTATTCTTTATAAGGTCTACCCACCCATTAAGAATGCACCTTCTTTGGTGACAACACATAAGACATACAATGAGAACATGTAAAAACATTTTATTTTTGTCTTTTTTTCTGCCTTTACATGATTTAAATGGAATTCCTCTTTCAAAGGTTTTTTTTTTTTTTTTACCTTCATATGTGTCTCGATAGAGAAGAAGTTATGGTCTGCTTGACGGCAAAACCGCTACATATTACAGTGAAGCTATTCATACCTGGACAGAATTCAGTATCCATCCAGCAATATTCTCATGGCTTGATTTTTCCACATACACTTATTACATAATCTTCTCCATATGAAATGCCTGATTCAGCTTTTAGCTGTTACTTGGTAGCGGTCACTCACCCTGGTGGTGCCTGAACAGCTGCCCACTATCTGTGGTGCTTCATTATTTCCACTTGGTAAGGTCTCAGAGTGATCTCAGTTTGTTGGAATGCCAGATCTTTGGATGGTTATGGGTCTTGTGTGGATCTGCCTGTGGCTATACATGGATAGTTCGATGTCATGTGTCAACACATTTCTAAAGTCAATTCATAATCATTAGGTGATGAGACTAATGTCCTTCTTACATAAAATTGGAAGAGAAGTCATTTGCTTAATCCCATTTTATGTGGAGGACATTCACAGAAAACCTCAAAAAGCTATTTTTAAACATTTTATCTTCTCCGGAATTGGTCTATAGACTGATGGATTTTAATAATTTAAATACTGTTTTATTCTATTTCTAAACAAGAGAATGTTTATTCATTTTTGCATGGCTGCCTTTGAATTTTCTCAAGCAGGTTGTTTCTCATTCAGTTTCATTCTCTGCTCTCAGATTACTCTTCATTCACAGCACTCTCAGTTCACATCACCAGCTGCATATTTACATCTCTGACATGTTGCCCTTGAGACCTGATAAAACTCATGTGACTGTTTTTTGCCGTGCCTTGCTTGTATGATTTTTCTGAATATAAATTCAGAAAAATCAAATTGACATTCGATGCCAGAGTCGGGGTAAAATCACCGACTGTAATTTTACCCTCTTGCTCTGTGGTTCATTTGTCAGATTGAATTAAGAGTGATCTATGGCTTGAAATTAAGAACATCCTAGAATCTTTTCTTTTCTTGTGCTGAAAATGAGATTCCCACAGGCAACAATTATGAGCCATTAGTGCTGAGTGCAAATGTAGCATATACCAGGACGCCTTGTCTCAGGATGGTAATGATTCCTTATTTTAATTAGAACCCACACTATTAATGCTGTGAACAACACATGGTTTAAATGCCAGCTGACTGCCTCTGTATCTTTGCTGTGATGCAATTTTTGCAGTGAACATCCCAGAGCACCATGGCAGAGCCAGACCCGGAAAACCCGTCTTCTGGAGCAGGTCAGCGTCTTGGAGCTCCTGAGACTCTTGGCATCAGTACATTGGACCCGGGCCACAAGCCGCCGGCCATGCCCCCTGGACGACATGTCACTGTCACGGTCCGTATGTTGGATGACACAGAAGAGGTTTTTGATGTCTCGGTGAGTCGCTGTTCTACTAATTATCCCAGTTTTTTTATTTTTTATTTTTTTATTTTTTATGGCAGCACTAATACAGGAATCAGACTTTCCATTAGTGCAGTGTTTCCATTTTCATCTTGGCTGCAGCAGACTGGTAACAGGTTGGCATGGCAACTGAAAGTTGCATGCATGGGTGAAGGGATCCTTTTAGAGTAATGTCAGTTTTCCTGTCCGTTTGTTGCTTTCTAATCTTCGTGTCGGTCTTGGTTTTGAACTGTGTTGTCTTGGCACTCTTTGGGAAACTGTAAATAGCATGATGACTTAGTTTTTACTGTGCAGTTGTGTGAGACATGAACTATAAAATGTTTTGTTTTCTTGAAAAGAGACAGGTGCAGGAGAGAAAAAGATAGTTTATTTTATAGTTAGAAGAAGCACATATTTTCATTCACTGTTTCAGGACTTAAAGGGATTAGCTATATAATGCTCAGAAATTTAATTGTATTAGTATTGCCTTCAGTACTAAACTTGACGCTAGTATTTAGTGTCATGCAGTGTGTGGATTTATAACATTAACCAACAAGTGTTAAACCACTGTGGTATCTTTCAAAAATAAAAGCATCAGACATAGATTTGTGTGCAAAGTTAAAATGACACTTGTGTAATTTTGGATTTTCTATTGACAAGAGTGGGACATGTAAAGGGTGGGTTGGGACTTAAAAAGGCACATTTTTAAATGCTAGAAACTACAGAGACTTTTACTGTAAAAATGAAGTAATCACATAAAACAATTTGGCTGCTTTTTAAAGATTTGTGTATTCAGTTATTCAAAAAAAGCTTGGAATGGAGGTGTTGGTGTTTGGATTTGATGGTTAAGTGAGAAAAAACACATATGTGCACCAGTCCCATCCCTGGAAATGATTAACAGGTGGTACAGTTTCACCCAACATTCCTGTGGTGAATAAGGAAGGGTTCTCTCAGATGGTAATGAGAAAGCTGTTCTGTGTCCAGCAGTGCTGCAGATCAGGTCTCAGGAGCTTAACTATGAAGCTGGTAATCTGTACTAATGGGGCCGTTAAGAATGAACAAGTCCTTCTAAACCTTTTGCAGAAAAAGGTACTTCTCCTTGTCTATGGTGGATGGCCTTTCCTGTGGTATGCTGTTAAATCCCATTTAAAGGTTGTCATTTGTAATATATAATGTGTTTTGGATCGGAACACTGATATGTTTTTGTTCTTGATCGGAAGCATCTTTGTAATCTTTCAACCATCCGGTCTTTAAACAGGTTCTGTCACATCTCCTTTTGTAAGCAGTTCACCGACACCAGGCTTTGAAAGTACCATATCATTCTGCAATGAGGCAAATCAGGTTTATGAAACATTTAAGTTCACCTTCAAGAACCTGCTGTCAAAATGTTTTCTTCTTCACTTCCAAAGGTTGAAATCAGTTTAGTTGATTATGTTAAGAAAATGTTAAGACTTAGACTTAGACTTAGACTTCCTTTATTGTCATTGTACAAAAAAAACACAAGGTGAATCTTGACAACGAAATGTCATTACTTGGCTACCAGTGTAGCAGAGCTAAAACCTTATACTACACAATAAATAAATAAATACAATACAAGTGCCATAAAATACACAGGTTCAGTGTTAAATTTCTATTGGGAAAAAAAAAAAATCCATGTTTACTTTTGTCATGGTAGGACAGAAAAGGACCTGTTGTTTGACATCATTGTCAAACAACAGGTTGAAGCTGCTACTATTTAATGTTCACTAACTTATGAGAACTTGGTGAACTCTTGGTGAATTTCCTGCAGCAGTTCTTTAACAGAGCTTAGGAGATTTCTGACCTCTTTTACATCATGCTCACTGTGAGTGATGGCAAGATAGACACAGGTGCATCAAGAGTCACTGAAGGAAATGACACAACAACCTCTAAAGAAGACACTGAGCACAACTTCATTCTTTACAAAATGTAAACAAAAATGGAGTAGCATCAGACTTGTATTTCTCTTTTTGTCTTTGACCAATTTCTCCCGCTCATGCGTTTGTTTTGGTTCTATTATCCCAGAATGCCTTAGGCTACATCTTGCTTCCTGTTTTTGAACTGGTCTTCTTTCCGCTTGCATTCACATAAACATTCAAACTGCACCAGAGATCACTTCAACCAAGTGAACTCTTAGAAGCTATTAGATGGACCAGAGTCTTTTTTTTTTGGTCTGCCCTAGAGTTGCATTTAGAACTCTCTGAAAGAACTGGAAATTCAAGGCAAATAAACTAGATTTTAATGGAAGCAGACCAAACAGGCCTGGTGTGAATACATCCTAAACCAGTCAAAAAAGTGAGTTATCTACTAAGCAATTGCTTGAAGTTAATTTATTTTAAAGGGATGCATACCTATAACTGTGCCAAAGTTTGTTTAGTAAAACATCTTTATTTCTTAACAAGTTGTGTGAGCTTATCTGACTGCAACAAGCAATTTATTGTAAGGCTTTTCACAGAGGTTTCTCTACTATGGACGTCACTACATGTGGCTGACACCATGTAATGCAGAACAAACAATCTCTTCCTAAAGAAGATAGATATTTATGCTCTCTCAAAATTAGTTTAACTGTGAAATGTTTTCATGTGAATCAGTGCCAATAATTCAGAGCAAGACCAAGGCATGCATACTTTTACTCTTCCAGTAAGTCGGCTTTAAAAGGACTCAGAGGGGCTATTATGATGCAGATGAGTTATGGTGATGGTGAATTTAAAAACTCAGGGAGGTTGGAACGAAACAAGCTGAATATGTTGCTCAGGAGAGGGTCGCAAAAGAACACTGCTAACAGAATGCTTTATACATGCTCAATTTAACACACATTATGCCCTCTATTTCAAGATAACAATCTCAGTGGGTTTTTCCACAGGAGGAGTCAGTGGAGCATATTTTCTGCAGACCCTAGTTTGATTCAAGGTAGAACAATTTAAAACAGCTATTTTCTAAGGCGTTTTCTTACAATTCTACATTGCCTTAGTAGAATTCAATGTAACAGGTTTACTTGTCATACCTACCTGCTGTAAAACATCAACACCATCCCAAAAGAGTTTTGTTTGAACTTATTACTTAAGTTTTTAACGATACAAAAGACATAAGATTAGTTCCTTGTTTTAATCTCTTATCTGCTGCGGTTAGCAAAGATTGCTGCTGATTCACAAAACAGGCAATTATCTCATCTTCTCTTTCACAACTGAAACATATTGTATTCTACATATTTTTTGTCTCGGATGCTCATTTTCTAGAAGCAAACAAAAAGCTCCACCTTGTTACTGATACCAAAGGCTTTAGTTTTCTTCGTTTGAGCCGGGTAGGTTTCCACCTCAGCGGGCTGAGTATCAGATGGTTGGGGAACAAAAATGGGCCATTGAACCATCTTGTGGGTCACATACCATGCTGTGGCCTACTTAGCACTCTGGCTGTGAACATGAATTTGTTTTGATGCTGACTTCTGGCACAAAATAGCTGGTCTTTAAGTTGAAAGAGGTCTGATTTCTAAATAAACAGTAGTAAATCAGATTTCATTTGACTTATGTTAGGTTTTTAAGGGAATGTAATCTACTCAAAAATGTTTTTTTTGTGCTTTTTTTTGCTGATGCAGGGTTTGGTATATTAGCCCTGAGTTCACATTCTGTTCCTGAGGCTAATATACCCCAATTCTGTCTGGGCTGATGTTAAGATACTCACACTTGTTGATGGCTGGTGAAAGAAGTCGTCTGTGAAATATTGGAGCAAGGATTTTGGGATTAGGATGTGGGGGATGGGTTGATGAAGGCTGAGTGGAGAAAACATACTCTCTTTTATTAATAAAAGGGAGATACTCTATGATGGCCAAACGTTTATGCTAAAGTAAATTTCATTTTGTCCAGTTTATTTATACATATTCACAGCAAATACAGCTTAGTTCAAATCAATCCAATTTAATCTAATACAATTATGTAATTCAGTTGATCATGTATGGCACACAGATAGTCAACTGTGGTAGGAAGTTTAGCGAATTGCATGGAGTGGCATGTGGCGATCAATGTTTGCAATAGTTATATCAGTGGGTTAATTTAAGAAAGAGGAAGAGATAAACATATAATTATTCGGCCAAGAGTAACTTTTATTAAGAGAGGGAAAAAGAGCATGTAGAGAATGACAGCAGCAGCTCTTTTGTGCCTATGTCCAAGAAAGAGACATTGCTTGTCACATAATCACTAGACAAGGACTATTTTTTTTTCATTGCCAGAAGCACAAAAAGTGTGCACCAAAAGCTCTGTTAATGGCTTCATCCAGCAAAAAAAACAACAACAAAAAAACCTCCTGAACACAAAATTACTGGGAGTACTTTTCATGGAAAGAAAAAAGTACACAAAGTTAATCACACCATGAGCTCTTTTGTAGGTTTTTCCATCAAAGAAAAAAGTAGTGTTACTGGGGCTGCACAGAATCATTGGGCAAGAAGTACTTTCCATGGAAATAAAAACAGAGTACACTAAGCGATTGGCAGCAATAGGTTGTCAATAATTAAGCCCAGGACAGCCAAACACAGAAGCACCTGGCAAAGGATACCTTCTATTGAAAGAGATGAGCAAGAAAACACAAAGTGGTAATCATTATAATACGTTACACTTGCTTGTAATACTGTAATGGAAAACCGATTTTAGCAATATAGTCTTTAGCCATTACAGATTTAAGCAGTGTTCCCTCTGATGTTGCTCTGCTACTACTGCTGGTTTTCTCTAATGAGCTACTAAAGATAGCGTCCACTACAATCGCACTCCTGTCAACTTCTCGCCACCCATTGCTTTACTCATTACAATAACCGTGCTTCCCTCTTATAGGACTATTATGCTGAAAAACAAATGACTTAATGGCAAAGTTATCTCTGGGCATTTTTCTGTGTGGTAATAAAATTGTAGGAAAAAAAATGTAAATGAAGAGAGATGCCTTCAATTTTTAATCATTTTCAGCCCTCCTGGGATAAACTCCAGGAACTTGCTTCT